GTTTAACAGGTACGCTCTCACCGCGCTTACAAAACGCCGCATTGTCAGCTATATATGATGTCCCTGGCACAGCACGTACAGTGCTGGCACTTGGTGCCCAAAAACGTTTCCCCACCGGCCTCGGCTCTCCGTCCAGAGAGGTGAAGGAGCCTATCCTGCCGCTGGGCCGCACACGTGCGTTGCAGTTTACATAAGCATGACCTTCAGCACACCAGGCTCGCCATGTAGCACGCCTTATGAGCTGGGGGACCGCTTGGAATTCTGCCAGAAGCAAGGTTTAGGATACTTTGGATTCTATCAGTTTTTGTATCGTACAATTCCAAGAAACCGGCGAGACAGCACCTGTCCTGCCCGAACACCAGCGCTGTTATGTATTTGTAGCATGAATTTAGATGGAAGGCAGTGCCGCGCATCAGATGGGCCACGGACCCAGACCGCGCATCAGATGGGCCATCACCGACCCACGTGCCGCGCATCAGATGGGCCGTCACCGACCCACGTGCCGCGCATCAGATGGGCCATCACCGACCCACGTGCCGCGCATCAGATGGGCCATCACCGACCCACGTGCCGCGCATCAGATGGGCCATCACCGACCCACGTGCCGCGCATCAGATGGGCCATCACCGACCCACGTGCCGCGCATCAGATGGGCCATCACCGACCCACGTGCCGCGCATCAGATGGGCCATCACCGACCCACGTGCCGCGCATCAGATGGGCCATCACCGACCCACGTGCCGCGCATCAGATGGGCCATCACCGACCCACGTGCCGCGCATCAGATGGGCCATCACCGACCCACGTGCCGCGCATCAGATGGCCGTCACCGACCCACGTGCCCGCATCAGATGGCCATCACCGACCCACGTGCCGCGCATCAGATGGGCCATCACCGACCCATGACCAGGGCCCATGGCCCATGCATCGGCGGGTGAGCTCGGACACGTGTAAATCCATCCAATTGAGAAAAAACTTAAGTGCCAACTGGGTCTACGTGGCATTGTCTTTAATGTGTCCATAAAAAGCGTGTTGTACGTCTACCGGTACTCAGGATCGCATAGCTGTCGCATAACATTATGCATAGTCTCTTCGACACTTGGTAATGCATTTGCAGCGAACTGAGAATAGGTACTATAACAACTTTGAGCAGTGACAAATGAACCACAGAGCGGATATCGGCGGTCAAAGTCTTTTAAAGACTGGTCCCTTTGATCTCATCTGGGTCACTGACTTCCACAGATACAAAATCTGGATTCGCACGAAGGATGCCAAATTGATGCATTAACAGGTGCTGAAAACTTGATGTCGTTGCCAGCGTTCATTTTTGAGCTGTGCTCGAAAAACATAGGCAATTCAGCTTCCTCCAGCCGTTCGCGGGCAAGTTTTAAAGCCATCCAAACCCAGGGTGTGCTGTCAAACACAAGACAATCGTGAACAAATAAGATTTTCACTCCTCCAGTAAGTGCACCAGTGACAGAAGACCCATGGCAGACTTGACACACCAGTAAAATAAGTTACGCAAATTGAACAATATTTAGCAGCTATCCCACCGAAAAGTTCAGAAGAAAAACCTAAACTTTCAAAATTTGGCATGGATTCATTGAGCAACAGTTAGAGTCTTCGATGTAAACACAGCTACACACAAGACCAAGCTGTTACTGTGAGGGTGTGGAGCACTTAGACTGTCTTTTTCACACACAAACGATGCCTCACATCAAATCACAACCACAATCAACATCACAAACCACAATAAACATAAAGCGATCACAATCAACATCACAAATTACAATCAACATCAATGATCAATGAAATGCATAATAAACTGTGAGTCTTTCATCGCCTTAGTCTCACTCACTTGCCAATACGGCCCGCAGACACCGCTGCCTGAAATGTGCATCTGTCGTCGAAACTGAAAAAGGTGGTAATATAGAGATTCCTATACATGTCTGAAGAACATGCAATTTACGACCACGATCAGATGGGCCGTCTGATTGTTACATATAAAACGTTGTAGTCGTTACTGTACGTTTTGCGATTGTTACTAGTCTTTAATATTTATCTCATTAAGGTTTTTGCTCTGTATTATTTGCTTATCTTTCCAGTATCTGAATCTGGATGCAGCTGCGGGAAAAATTCCCTTTCTTCGTTTAATAATAATTCGTCTAATTCGTCTAACATATGATGCCTTTGAAGTATGCAATTGCGATCGGAAGTTTTAGTCAGGCTCTATGAAATGTGAATAGTTTCCTGCACACGATGTTAACAGTTATTTTCATAAATTTTGCTGCAACATGTAGCAATATTCCACGTCATTTGTGCCATTGCTAAATGTCAATGATGTCACTAGATGGGCAAAAATATTCGTGCATAAAATGTATTGCGATCCTTGCTTTTACGCAGCATCGCACAAACGGCGGTGAAGGTTGTAGAATGAAACATAGATAGTGCTAAGGGGAAAATGTAGATAGTTTCAAAGGCACCATGTGCCATTTATTTGGTATTCTTGCATGATTCATCTCCGTTCACAGCAAACACCGTATTAGACCGCCTCTGGTTCTTGGAGGCAGGTTATGACATTGTGGGAATTGTGACGATTCAGTTAATTTGTGTTCATGTACAGTGTAATGAGCTGAGGAAGCCTTCCATAGCTTGGAATATCCAGCATTGCTTACTCTGTCAGTGGAAAGTCAGCAGTTGATGTACATATGCAACTTTGAAAGACGAGGCCTGTGGTCTATTGTGATAAGGCAGGAGGGTGATATGTTGGGGACATTTCAATGATAAGATATACCAACAAACAAACTTAGAAAAATCGAAAAATTTGAATCCAAGCTCTTCTTTCTTATTGTGGCTGAAAATTGCCATCATATCTCAAAATCTACTTTGGTGCAATACAAATTCTATGACCCAGGTCCTTTGATTGCTGCTCTGTCCGCAACAGCACTGGCATCAGCCAAACAATGCTGCGTTTGAGATGGCCCTCGCCTGCCAATTCGTGCACACTTCAGCGCGTGTGTCCAAAATTAAGAAGAAGAGAATAAATTCACATTGGAAGAACATAGCACTGGCAGGTCAATGCCGGGTCGGTGTTGTAGCATAGCGCGCTTTCGCGGGCTGTATCACGAGCTGGCCTGGACGGACTGGGCTGCGGGCCAATGTTTCGGAGAGAGCTGCGTTGCAGACCGAACATCTACCGGGTGACAGGCGATAGCACAAACGGGCAAGTCCCACACGGGGAGACGTGTCGCTAGATCAAGACCACGGGGAGACGTGTCGCTAGATCAAGACCACGGGGAGACGTGTCGCTAGATCAAGACCACGGGAGATGTGTCGCTAGATCAAGACCACGGGAAGTGTCGCTAGATCAAGACCACGGGAGAGTGTCGCTAGATCAAGACCACGGGGAGACGTGTCGCTAGATCAAGACCACGGGGAGACGTGTCGCTAGATCAAGACCACGGGGAGATGTGTCGCTAGATCAAGACCACGGGGAGATGTGTCGCTAGATCAAGACCACGGGGAGATGTGTCGCTAGATCAAGACCACGGGGAGACGTGTCGCTAGATCAAGACCACGGGGAGACGTGTCGCTTGATCAAGACCACGGGGAGACGTGTCGCTAGATCAAGACCACGGGGATGTGTCGCTGGATCAAGACCACGGGAAGACGTGTCGCTAGATGAAGATCGGGTCCCTGCATTTAGATTACGTACTATGCCAGGGAAAACTGAAACAAAAAAGTCGTTCACCTGATGTCTACATAACGTCTATCTAACCCTAACTATCGACACGTGAAGTGTTGACCCGCCAAATTTCACAACGCAAGTTATCGACACACGAAATATCGACGCGCAAAGCATCGTCTCGGAAAACATCGCCCCGGAAAACACCGAGAGCTTAAAATCTCGCCACACA